CCAGCGCCTGCAGCTGTATGTTGTGGAGGCCAACGAGGGCGCCATGCTGGTCGGGCGGTGCAGTTCGCCGTGCTGCTCTGCTGCGGCTGCTGCAGGCTGTGCGGCGCGCCCAGGATGTTGACGGCCATAGCGCCTGCAGCGGGATGTTGTGGTGGCCCTGGAGCCCACCGAGGGCACAGTGCTGGACGGGCGGTGCAGGTAGCCGTAGTAGTACCGGGGCCAGGACGCATACCAAAGCGACGAGCACCTTCTGGACGCACATCTTCATCAGCACTTGAAGTGGCACTGGGCGGGCGCGCGGGCCGGCGGCGCGTTGACCCTGGAGGTGGACGTGGACATCCAGGCCAGGCTGCACGGCACTCTGCCCAACGACACTCTGGCTGACGGCACTCTGGCCAGGCGTCGACGCCCTGGCGGTAGATGTTTTCGGGAGATGGCGAGCTTGACAAATGGGTATAGGTGGTATAGGTGGCCGGGGAAAAGGGGGGGGGGGGCAATGACCAGCACGCAACACGCAACACGCCCCGCTCCTATGTTGTACCTTGTGTGATACCTTTTCTTTCGCTCAGCCCCTTTTCTTTATGCAACTCTCCAACTCTATACCGCGTCTCAGGAACACTACAGTGCTTGGGGTTTGCCTACTCGCTGCTCCTGTAAGACGCCAATGGACCCAGGCACGGATTAAGGTCCGGTTGACAGGGGGGCGATGCACTGTCGGTTGCCTACATACTTTTCGTGGAACAAATTGCCTACCTTTCAGGCGGCTCACTAGAGACCACAGGGAGGGCGATCCCCCCCCCCCTTAACCTAATCCGCGCCTGAAAGAACCTAAGGTATGCACCTGCCGATCCACGATGATAGTACTGTCCTGCCCCATGCAATTATTGTGGCCTACCTGTAGACGACGACGACGACAAATAAGCTGCCTACTTCTACGGCGGTATTTTAAACCACGACACGTATAATGTTTAATTTCCCTACAAGAACCATGTGCGGTCATCCCCAGTAACCTGCAGTTATGCCACAGTCAATTCCAGTCGCAGCACAGTTAATTCCAGTCACGTCCAGTCACACCACAGTCATCTGCAATCATCTGCAATCATCTGCAATCATCTACAATCATCGACAATCATCTACAATCATCGACAATCATCTACAATCATCTACAATCATCTACAATCATCTACAATCAGTTCCAGTCACACATCCAGTCACCTCCAATCAGTTCCAGTCACACATCCAGTCATCTCCAATCCTGCAGTCCCACGTGCAATCATTCACAATCCTTGCAATTCTTTCAGGTACTTTGCAATCCCACCAGTCATTTACAATTATTATAATCAACTACAGTCATTGCAATCTCCAGTCTGTGTACGCGATTTTTCAGAGTTGGGTACCCCTCGGGCGGCGGCCTTTTGGGCTTCAAGAAGCTGCTTTTCTGGAGTGTCGGTCGGAATCATTGAGCGTCCCTTCCGACGATTGGGTTTGACAGGCGCAGGCTGATCACCAGACTTGCGTGGCAGGCCTCGGACAGCATAAGGCCCGAGAAACTTGCTTTTGCTCGGTCCAGGAGTCTGATCATCAGTCGGCGCAACTCCAGGTGTATCTTGTGCAGATGCTGCAGTGGCGTCTTCGTTGGCGGTCGCTACAGTTGAAGCATCGGAAGTCGCCGTAGCAGATGGATTGTCGGGGAGCCCGCTCGACTCTGTCGCTTGCACTTCTTCTAGAGCCCTGAAGGGTGAAGCGGACAGGTAGTCGGCCTCCGTTAATATGTCAGGATTGAGTGGAAATATCCCACACTTCCGAAACCCTGACAGTATGGTGCTAGGATTCATGGCCTTCCCCATAGCCGTATTTACAAATGAGGCAACATGATAGATGGTCACATTTTGCCCAGGATTGCTCATAATCCAAGAGCGCATAGCATTGTCATAGTAGTTTCGAAAGGGGCTGAAAACAGACACATCGAGAGGCTGTGTTTTGTGGCTCGTATGTGGGGACAGAGTTAATAGGGTCACACCATTATTTTTTGCAATGTCTAGGGCCTCAAGTGCAAGGTGCGAGGAGTCATTGTCCATAATAAGCAGTGTAGGGTTTTGTTTTGAAGACCCAGTGTGCTTCACAAAGTGCTTCATAACCTCAGGAAATAAATCACCATTCATCCATCCAGAAGGGGCTGCCAGACCTAAAGTCCCCGGGTACGCATTAATAAGCATGTGCGGTACAAAGTTAACGCGAGGGAATACCATAATTGGTGGCAACGCGGTCCCGTTTGCACCGATTATACATGTAGTTGTCACTAGGGTCCCTCTCTCAGCAGTCTTTGATTGGGGAATTTGCTTTACTCCACTCGGTGCCAGAATTTTTCTCTTCACCGATCCTACAGTTGTTGTGCCAATTTCGTCCAGGTTGTAAACTCGGCTCCCATCGGCGAAAGAAGTGTGCCTCTCCATGGCTTTCTTGAGATTGTCGAAAAATACTTTCATATTTTCTGGGGTAAAGGCTGACGCACGATTGACACTGCACGGTTCCGGCTTCCGCATGCTAAGTTCAGGATGCCGCTGTCTAAACCCAAAGAGCCACTCGGCACCAGCTTTTTCTTCCTCGTCCCACTTTGGCGGACGTGTGAGAGAGTTTATTTGAGCCAGTTTAAATGCCAAATGTCCCACTTGCTCAGTGTCTAAGCCAAATCCCATTTTAGCGCAGTCCCGTATATACTCGGAGAGTTCCTTTTCCATATCTTCGGTAAAGACCCGCCGCGACGCGTAGTTCGGGGTCAATTTGGCGTTGGACAGGTCCTCTTGATCTTTGGTACCGTCAACGTACCGCTGGAGAGTTGATTTTGAGAGGCCAAACTCCTTCGCAGTGTGTCTAATACTTTTCCCTGATCGGACTGTTTTCACGGCCTCCGCGATGGTTTCTTTGTCGAAAGTGGCATTCTTCCTTTCCCCGGATCTCTTTCGAGGCATTTTCTGAGGAAAAAGCGTAAAAAAATGCTTTGTTGTCATTGTTACACTAAAAAGTTAACCTAAAAAACAAACGGGGCACATTGGGACACTCAACCGGCTGTCCCAATGTGCCCCGTTCGACCCTGTCCCAATGTGTACCGAGAGACATGCCAACGTGGTCTAGCTCCCTAACCTCAAAACCGAGCGCGACACGACAAGACTCACAGACTGCCATAGGACCAAGGTAAACGCCCACGAGCTCGAAATGGTCTTCCTACAAATACTTCGAACGTTACAAAAGAAACAAACTTTGCTGATCGTGCTGCTTTTACCTTGTTTTTCGTGGATAAAAACTTTGCATCCAGCTGCCTCCACCCGAGATCGACGAGGTTGGTCACCGCCTTGTGGAAACGAAACAACTCGAGCTGGGCTATAACCGAGAATTATTGGCAGATTCTCCGACCACCGGAAGGCGGCAAATTTGAAGGTGTCCTAATGTACCCCGTGTCCCAATTGACCCCACCTTCCCTTACCTGACATTTTTAGCGTAGCGAACTGTATTGATTTTGAGCCCTCTAGCTTAAAAATTGACCTGTCAAAAAAATCAAAAACGAAAACCCCAAAATATTACTTTTAATTTTTTAATTTTTTTTACAACTTCTAAGACGTAACTCGTCTAAGTAGAACCCTATGAGCCAAAATTTTGTCTGTTTGGCTCTATCTCTAACTGTTAAGTCGCCAGAGGGCGATTTTCACACGAAAATGACCCCAAACCATTTTAATGTTGTTTCTCAGATATTTGATGGTCTCTGGCTGGGCAACTCGTCAAAATAAAATCATGGGGGTAAAAGTTGTGTCCTTTGGAGCCGAAGGCCTATCAACGACTCTGCCTTTTGCCCGACTCGGGTGTCAGCGTCGCAGGCCTAGGTAGATGGGTAAGGCGCGGCGCAGCGTAACAGTGTTTCGTGAGATATCGCAAAGCCTGCTACGCGAGAGGTGGTCTGGCGTACATCCACCTAGTTTAGGTAAAAACAAGCAGGCCCGCCCTTCCGCCAAACGAATTTGCCAGCTCCGCTTCGCTCCGCCGGCAACTCTGTTCGGCAGGGGCCGGGCCTGCTTTGCCTGCCGGCGGTAATGGCATTCCGGTAATGCTGAAATGCAGACGAATGCATGGAACAAGAAAACGGAAGTTACCATGTTATAGCATTGCGATTTCCGTTTTCTTCTTTCCCGCATTCTTCTGCATTTCAGCTTTACCTGAATGCTTTATTTGCCTAACATCTCTGGACGGTAAATTAGTGCATTGTACATTTAAAATTAACATTTTCTTCCACTACTTGCAGGACTAACAATCGACGGGAGGGAGAGCTTTTGTCAAGGGCTGGTCGGCAAGCAAGGAAGAAAGCCTGATTTTCTGTTCGAAGAGGTGCCTCAACATGGTCCACTCGATTGACGTGGTAGCCACGGACCCAACTTTCTGGGTAACTCCAAGGTTGGCCGGGGCAATGCACGTCATGATCCTGGCAGTTTTTGCTTTTGGCGCTGTGAGTACATGTAGCAAATTACTTTGTAACCTTTAGCAGGCAGAGCATAACTAACTGATCCTGATATTTAATCTGAGAAAAATTGCAAGCTCTAAGTTTTGTTATATTTTCAATAGGTATTGCCAATAGGCGTTGCCATCATGCGGTCCAAAAGTACTGAGGCCTACGAGGCGGTCTTTCACAAGTTCAAGGATCTTGGTTTGGACGCCCGGACCGTCATCACTTACTGGGGGCGCAAAGGGTGGCGGAATGCCTACCCGAAGTGCAAAATTTATAGGTGTATGTGGCACTTTGTAAGGGTGAGTATTCAGATGCATTCGCAAATGTATACCCAATTTTGTTACGGCTGCTTATCGATCTACGTGTTTACGAAGCAAAACGTTTAGGGGTTAAGTGCAGCGCACTTATACATTTACATTTTCAAATTGAAATTGTTGAACATTTCCCAAATGAGATTTTCGTGTTCCCGGTACAATTTTCAAGATAATGCTCATGAACAACTTTGTGTCATTTGTGTCAAAACAAGAAATATTTATGATACGAACTCGGTCGTTCCATTCGGAATGTGAACAAGTCGTTTTGTTACAGTGATCTGAGCAACTAAATCGTCAACCTCAAGAAGTTATGATAAAGCTTACCTCCTATAGGCTGGGTTGTCGACAATGCTGTGCTAGTGAGTGGGTCGTAGTTGGTCGAGGGGAAGAAAGTAGTAGTCGTTTTGTTGCGATCTTCAATTCTTCCTTCTCCGAATTCCGAAATGGCACATCGTGCAGAGTAATTTCGTTAAGAATCTGAAAAACAAGCGATTTATTTTTAGTGCATCAGTTCTCGTTGGCCTCCTGCCCAGAACATTTGGGAGCGAGTCCACATTGATTTTCCTGGATATCTGGATGGCTACAATTTGTTGAGTGGAGTGGACGCATTCAGCAAATGGCCTTTTTTCAAGGTAGTTGCAATTCTAACTGCAAGTACTCTTATCACTCATATAAGGTATATTTTTGCAGACTTTGGGATACCCCTCACTATTGTCAATGACAATGGTACGCAACTTATCTCCAAGGAATTCGAGCAATTTCCTCTCCGGAATGGCGTCTAGCATGTCATGCCCACCATGGCACCCATCTTCCAATGGCCTTGCTGAGAGAACAGTTCGGTCCGTTAAGGACCTCTTGCCTAGATTCCATGAAGGTGACATCCATGCCAGGGTGGCCAGGGTCCTGCACGCCATGAGGATCGCCCTTCGTCTGCAGGAGGCGTTTTTCCGGCGGAAGTCATGTTCGGCAGCCGTCTATTCAGATCTTCATTGAAGCGACTGCATCCAGACTCCTGGCCTTCGCGGAGCCGGGAGCAAGACAACTCGTCCCGGCCGACTCGTACTCGGCCCTCTACGTCCCGACCCTATCTCGTCCCGGGTTCATTTTTGGACTCGGCCCACAGGGGCGACCAACTGTTCCCGAACCATTGTTGGTCCTAGCTGGTCAATAGTTTAAGGTCTAATAGTTTAACTCCGCAAAAGCAGGGCTGCGGCTCGCTGCAGCGAATAACACTGGGGTTTAAGTCGTTTCAAGCTAAGCTCCACTAGCTCATAGAAACTAAAGGTGCCCCCACAATGAGCGCGAGGCGATGCCGGGTAGGCGATGCCGTGCAGCCAGGCCGTGCTTGCAGATCGTGCCGGTTGCGCGGAGCTACG